ATGTATTCTAAGAAGTATAAAAAATGTAAACAAGATTTTGTTCCCCCCCCAATTTAAACTATTCCAACCGTTCAGGAAAACGATAAACATTGTGAACATAAAATTCTGCCCTTTTTTATATATACTTTAATAAAAGGAAATGTGTTCCTTCTTTTAAAATTTAGAAGAAAAGGAATCCATTTTCCTTTCTAAACTTTTGAATGTTGCCAACGCTTAAAAAATGATAAAGTACGCCAAGGTAGTAACCCGCCTTTTAAAAAAAAAAAAAAAAAAAAAAAAAGATTCACTACAACACTTAAGCAGTTCGCGTACGTAGAACCCGTTCTTTTCGATTGAGTTCAAATGACGGATCCGACAACTCAATGCGCATGCGTGGTTAATGTTTGTGCGAATAGCTCAAGCGGATAATCGCACCACTGGTGCGAATAACATCGGCCAAGGCAAACACCCGTTACTCAGGATTTCTAGCTCTGTCTTTCGAAGTACGTTAAACCTTCCTTAAATACTACTTCTAAATCATTTGCATTGATAGCGATTCTAAAAACTTATTTTGGTAGGAAGTGGTAGGTGGAAACAAGAATTGATATTAAAGTACATTGCAATTAAGGTAACTGTTATAAAATTAAAATATACCTTACACCGAATAAGATATTCTACTTGATCCGTGTACATATGAGATGAGTTTATATCGTTTCTTGACTTTTCTGTAAATGTCAAATAGGGAATTATTCTCTTTAGACAGATTGTTAAGGAAATTGGTCAGTTTTTGATTTTTAAAGTTCCGTATTCTTCTACTGATATTTTTTTGCCATTGAGTTAAGTTGTGGATCCCTGATCATTTGCCATCTTTTGCGAAGTCGGTTTTTCCTTTTATACTGTTTCTGATGTCGGTAGGAAAGGGAAGGCTTGTTTACGTGGAATATATTGTTAGCTTCCTGCAGTGCTGAATTAATGCAGTTAATGAATTTTGAGACTTCTTGTTCTAATTTTTCTTTATTGTCAATGCGTGGATTGCCTAGTATGGATTTTTTTTTAAATTTCGGAGTATTTAGTCCAATTAGTCACTCCAATACTTCTGCACAGAAGTTGGATCGTTATTTATGGTTATTTCTAGAAGAGTGAGGCTGTAGTCAGATGATAAGGCGGGAATTGTAGATATATTACATCCGCTTGTTATTGCTATTTGAGATAAAGATGGCTATTGTGGTGCTGCTATTGTATCTGTAATGGGTGGGCTCGTCTGGGGCATGTATGTTATAATTATTTGATTGAATGAAATTAAATCTATCGTTTCTTTTCCATGTTTGCATTTCCCCGGTTCCAACAGGCGTTTTTCGCGTAAAAGTCCCCTCCGACAATGGAAGTATTATTGGTATTTAAGAGGTGAAGTAGCTCTTGTGTGCTGGGATTTTTATTACGTGAGATGTAGACATTTGAATTTTTGGTGTTCTATCGTAATTTCAATAGTGTTACTTTCTAAAGTGATGCTGGGATTAGGAATTTGAAAGTGTTTGACGCTCCTTTTAACAAATGCGATTATGCCGCCTCCTCTTCTAGTCTCTCGATCCATCGGGTTGATGGTGTAATTAGCATATAGTACTTTGAGTGCTGGTCTAAGGTGAGTTTCTTGTATCATTATGACATCAGTTTGTATTTCTATTAGAAGATTGGATAGCTAATCTTTTTTGTGGAATAGACCGTTAGCATTCCAAGAGAGAATTTTTATATTGCACTGGTGCTAGAATTAATGGAATTAATGTTGATTTCCTATTTTCTCTACAGTTTTTCTGTTGATATTCTATTTAATGATTTTCACTACTGCAACATTTTTGTCTAGGGTTAATTTCTTTTCAATATTTTTATGTCCTTGGATCACTATAGTCCAAATGGTCTTAAGTGAGGAGAAGTCGAAGAGGTGTGAGAGAGAGGATCCTTCGGCTTTGGTAGTTTCGTCTGTAATATTTTCTCTTAGAATGGGATTTTGAATGGAATTTGTATTATTGTTGTTTGATGTAAACGGATGAAATTCTTAGTTTTTATTAGTCCCTGATTAACTGCTCGTGGAGGACTGGGTTAAACTGGGCTTGCTTGTTTTTCGACCTGGCTGGACAATTTGAAATGTTCGCAGGATCAGGACCTTTGCAGTTATAGTATATGGCAGGTTGGTCTCGGTTGTGAATGCATTCTGTAGGTTTATGGTTGCTTCCGCAACGGAAGCAGATCCAGTCTCTTGCACAGAATAGAAAACTATGAAAAAAATTCCTGGCAGTCTGTAGCATTGTGGTGGGTATTGCGTAATGCAAGGATGTCAAACTCGCGGCCCGCGGGCCGCATGCGGCCCTCAACAAATATTTTTGCGGCCCGGCCAATATATCGGCAAATAATAATATATAATAATAAAATAACATATCGACGAAGAAAAAAATGAATTGTTTACTGCTAAGTAATTAACGATAATTTATTCAGTGTTAGATTACTCACAGCGAGCTGACACACACACTACTTAAATTACAAATGCATGTGAGTAGCTTGCGTTCAGCTACCTTCGGCTTTTGGGGGACACGTGCACTCAGAACTTGTACGCATCCCCCTATAGCCGAATGTGGCCGAACTCATGGGCTCAGTTTTCCAATCATAGGTTTGTGCGATATATTGGTGCATGCATGTGCATGCACTTTGCTTTATTATTAATTATTACTTAATTCATATTGTTACGGATTTCATAGTTATTTATTTAGTTAGTATCAGGGTGTAAACATTAAATTTTTCTTGTTCTTTGCTATATAAATTTATATAAATGTTTATTATTGTATTATTCGAAATAAATCTGCGTTTCTATGAATATTGAATTTTTTTTTTTTTTTTTTTTTTTTCGGCCCGCCGAAAGTTAACCTTGTTTGTTTGGTCCAAGTGTACCTATGAGTTTGACATCCCTGGCGTAGTGATTCGACTGACATATTCATATAACCTATGCGAATGATTTTACATATTTCCTTATTTTCTTCTGATTTTGGTATGTGTACTAAGAATAGTGGCATTGGCTTATTTTCTCTTCTATTTCTGAGTAGGGTAGTAAAGTTAACGGGGAATCCTTTGTTAAGTAAATTCTTGAATGTTGGTTTGAGTATCTGTGGCTATGGGTAAGCCTCTAATTATAATTTTTATTAAAACTTTCTCTTCTGGCAATAAGGCTTCTAGGTTTGTTTCCTCTACTACTTTGCGAATGAACTGTGTGAATTTGAATCTGTTGGCGGTATTTCTAGGCGGCGTCCCTTTAAGGTTGCGGTCATCTGTTTCCCTGTTTGCTTGTTTAGATCTCTTAAGAATCTTAAGAAGATCTTCTTAATTTAGATCTTCTTAAGAATTCATCAGCTTTTGGGATATCATCTACGACAATTATTGGCGATTTGTCTTTTCTGTTCATTTTTGGGTTGGAGTTTGGGTTTCTATTCGTGGGAGTAGTGGCACTCTTGTTTGGTTCGTCTCTTGCAGTGGTGGTGTGCTGAGCGGCTGGTACTTCATCCATATATACATGCATGTCGTGTTATTTGTTTCTCTAATTGTGTGTATCGTTACTAGTTTTGAGGATAGGCTCATCATCTGATTCAGTGTCTGTTGTTTGTCTATGGCGTAGTTTTCTTTTCTTTGTTCTTTGAGACTGTTGGTAGATTGCAGTGTTTCACAATAGTTTTTCAGCTGTTCAAACTGTTTAGCGAGGTTGTAGTTAGAGGCTTTTAATTCGTTTATTGAGTGTTGGCGATCTTATTTTCCTGCATGCACAGTTAGTTAATGGTCCTTAAAGGACCATTAGACTTTAAAAGTCTAATTCTTTTTGGTCTTTAGCGGGCAAAAGCATATTTGGATCGTTAAGTACACCTTGAATATCTCCTACCAGGGATATAGTTGTTTCAACATCATTAGCTAATGTAATGTTGTGACTTAATATCTGAAGTATGTTGGGTTTATCATTCTGATGTTCCCTGTAAGGATTTTCTGAAATTGGGGGTGATTTTTCCATGTTTGCGCTAATATTAGTTACATTTGTGTTGGATTATACGTCATGTTGATTGATCATGTGAAGCAAAAATGTTGGAAAATAGGGGCCTGACTAGCGGCCGTGCTCGAAGATACCCTATCAGCACGGTGTATATAAAGAGAATCAAAAGAAAAAATACAATACGACCTTTCTTGATTCAGTGAAAAAGAATGTAGCAACAGTGGCAAGTCGTGACTTCAGCGTAGCGAAAGTAAAAACAGGCTGAACACAAGAGCCGGAGAGGCGAGATCGATAAATTCGGTTCTCCCACGCTGTGGTAAACAATGTCAGGGACACGAGAAGCGAAGCAGAAAGACATCTAGCTCAAATGCTGCCCAAGTTCTGAATGCTTCTCAGCCTCCACAAAACTAGTATCTGATTAATTTGTAAATGAATCTGTATTAAAGTACGGAACCCCACTAAAAGTAATTTCCGGTAATGGCAAACAGTTTGTTAATCAGATTTCTGAAAACTTATGTACAGAGCTTGGCATACGACAGTTAAAGGTGGTTCCGTATAGTCCCAGTCTAATATAGCCTAAGAAGTAAAAATGTAGTTAAAATTAGTCAACGAATTAGCTTTTGCAATAAGAACAACAAAATATGTTACTACGGGTAAGAAAGACCCACGGAATTATTTTTAGGGAGAAAAATCTTAAATCCTTTGGACAATTAATTGTGATTGAATATCGGGAGAACCCTGAAGGCAGGTTGGTATATGTGTAGGCTCGGTCGAAGCGTAGATACTTATATCATGATGCATCAGATACTTGTTCAGCATTATCCCGTTATTGTTTCTTGAATTCCATTTGTAGTGTTTGCTATTGAAATCTCCCGCAATTATTGCAGGCCTAGGTTGACAAAGAAATCTAGATCTTGAGTGTAGGCTTACTTCTTACACAATAATCCGTTTGTCACGCAAATCAGCCAATAGCGATTCAGTCATTTTTTTTTTTTTTTGCAACAGGGTGTATAGCGAGAACGTTTTACGAACATGCTCGCCTGTGCCTTGATTGTTTTGCATGCCTTAAAATATGGCTGCAGCGATCGCCGAAGTAACAGCAGATGATAAAGTATGATTTTAACGTTTGCATATTATTTCTGCATGTTTCTGCAGCATTATTTAATTTTGTTTTATTCCTACTTTCCTTTTTTTTCATTATCCTTTTTTTATCGCAGGCCGGCATGCTAAAACATTTGCTGTTTGATTACTTCTTCACCAGAGCATCATGCCAGTTTGAGGTATTGTAAAATAAACAGAAAACTTTTTGCAACAAAGTATAAATATTATTTCATGTTTTGTTTATTACTTTTATTTTGCAGAGTGTATAATCTAACCTTCTTGACTGAATCCTTATGCTGCAGTATAAAATATTCTTTCGGATATTCTTCCTTACTTATTCCTTATTTATGAATTTTCCAGCATTTTGTATGGAGTGTTGAATTACATATACAGTTTTTTAGGTATCTCATTATCTGTATTATTTTCTAAGAAGTTGTTTGTTGTAAATTTTGTGTGTTTCAGATTTGTGCAGTTAAGAAATCATTATTTTCACATTTACCTCTTTTTACCTCATTTTTTGCCTCTTTTTTTATAATCTGCTAATGTGGCATTTGAAAAGCTTGGCAGAGACTTTATTTTTATGCTTGTTATGTTACTATTTAAATTTTGCTTGTGTTTATTACTTTGTTATAGTGACCTTTGTTGACCTTGTGTCTCTATCCACAGATAGGATATTCATTAAAAATTTCATATTGCTGATAATTACAGTATAGTGAACCAGAAGTCTTATATATAATAGTGCTGTTTATATAATATATAATAGTGCTGTTTTGGTTTACTATATGAAAAGCTTCAATAAGAGTTCAGAATAATTTGTACAATACTATAATGTGCACCATTACTCAAATCCTTCACTCATAAACTGTTTATTGAATTGATTATTGAATAAGAAGTGGGAGTATGTTTCATTTTATATAAGAATATGACATTTTAGAAGTATAAAGGGCAATTAGTAATTTGTTCTATTGTTACTGTAAAAATTTGTGTTAGTTGTGTTTGTTACTTGTTGATAGTAAACTTGGAACTATGGATGAAGTTAACTGTGTTTTGTGCCACTCACTCAGAAATTGGAAAGTTCTGATCTAATCAGCACTGAACCTTGCTAATATCATCTTATTTTTTATTAAGCATTTATTGCTAATGGTGGATTTGTTTATTGGTATTTAATTTGCCATTTTATTAAGTATGTTTGAAAATATGAAAAGTATACAAATCAAAGTTATATAGCAGTAATGCATTTCTTAATTTCAGAGGGTTTATGCTGTCAATAAAATTGTTAACAGAACAAGGACAATCAGCATTTCATTTCTGCGTTATGAATCTGGGCCAGCTTTCATGTTATTCTCCCTGTATAATTGAATAGAATAATTGAAATAAAGTTGAAGATTTGTTCATGATGAAAGTATTCAAAATAAAGCATACCAGTAATATACTTCAGTAATTTAGCCAATTTTCTATTTTCAGATTACCTAAATCCTTTGAGGTTTATATGCAGGGGGATGATGGAGAAGGATAATTTTACTTTTTATTAATTAAAACTGAGTTCTTTATTGATAATACATTGCATCTAGTATTATATCCTTTGTGTTTCTGGATTTATATTTCTTGTAATTTTCTAGGTAAGAAATTGAAAATTCTCAGCCTTATATTTAAAATGTTTGAAAGGGAGAGGTATATAACTTCAAAATATTAACCCTAGGATTAACTTGCTTCCACGAGTTTTGATTACTTTTCTGGCATGCAACATGAATATCAACTGGCTTTTTTTTAGACAGTTTTCTGTGAAGATGTCCCTAATATTAAGCAGATTGCCCTGGTGATTTACTAATTTAACTCGAACAAACAGTTTATTATTGTTGCTGCATGAATGTGATTTTTTTTTCTTGCATTAGATATTTCCTTCTGAAGAACTCAGATGAATGGCATTTGGAGCAGTTAATTAACCATCAATGATTAAATAGGTGGGACATGCTAGATAAGAAGCATTATGTATTTTCTACCATTCAATTAGCATGCTATGGTTATTGTTTAAATTTACTAAAGGAACTGCTGGGAGCTTGTACAGGTATTATTGTGGGCCATTGTCTAGCCCAGGAACCTTTAACTAAATGCTTACTCAATCAACAGCTTAGAAAACATAACTGATTTTTGAATCTCTTCTAATTTTGATAAATAAAGATGAATGCACATGTGTTTCTCTTTCATACATATCTGCAGTTTTATTCCAATCTTGATGAAACTTGACATACTTGAATTTAAAAACTAGGAAGTTCACTGTCTGCATGTAATTTTTCAAAACCACCTCATGAGGTCCGCACTCTTTATATACAAATGTTTTATGCTCATGTAACTAACTTTTAATTAAAAACTCAGACATTTAAAAGCTTTATGTTGCCACTCTACAAATTGAAAGATTATTTATTTTCAAGTTTAACCAGGAGGTCATTATCTATATATGATTTCGATAAACAATTCGACAGGAACCATACTTTACACACACGAAAGTCTGATGTGATGGTTCTGTTATTCAAACAAATCACAAGAACATAAATATAAATTTTGTGTCAAATAACTTTACAGTTTCAGTCTGAAACCCGGAAATCGTAAATATACTAAAACTAGTCGATCAGTTTTAAAGCTTTTGTCTTTGTAGAAGAGATGAATTTCTTCATTTTGTTACTCAGCGGGGCTCATCTCTAAAGATTAGACTCCAGATGGCACATTTTAAAAGCTACCTCCGTATCAGTGTCTCGATTTCACGGCCAAATAGTTTTGAAGTAAGATGTTCAGTAACATTTGGGAAATTTTGAGCTCCGAGAATACAAACAGGATGTAAAATCTTTTATATAACATACATATTATTGTTCTAAGACAACACATTTTCCCCATCTAAATTTCTGAACCTTCATCTTTTAACTGATTGAATACCTTTGCTGTTCATTGAATACATATCTCAGCAACTAAGCTCAAGCACTACTTCTTGAGGGCATACCTTGGTACACTCAGCTATAAAATAGTTTTGGTAATAGAGCATAATGACCGAGATGTTAATGAAACCAACGAATGGTGTGCAAATTTTCTATAGAAAAGGGAAAAACGCTCGGTTCAACTGTGTCAGTTTAGGATTCACTTAGCCTGACAATGAAGTTTTTTTGGGTAATCGCACATAAAGATACTAAAAAATATATTGTAGAATTTAAATTGTACAGTATGAAATATGCCAGCATGGTTGATATCAGAGCTGCTACCAAGACAGTCTAGAGTTGAAATGAACTGGTTTAGAGAATATAGGAAATAAAAAAATTCACATGCAACAACAATTTCAAACAGGAGACATTTTCTCTGATTGGGCATCTGAAATTATCTGGAAATTAATGTGCTAAATTATGTAGCATAGTAAAATATAGAATAATATAATATGGTGTTGAAGACAACAACTAACTATCGTATAATTTTTTCCGCTGCAGTTTTTCAGAAACTAAACATAACAAACTATTTCCCCTTAAATTTGAAATACTTAAATTAAATTGAAATACTTTGTGCTAAGAAATTACCTTAATTTTGACAAAGGAACACATTATCTTATTGAGGCTGAAAATTTAGTATAAAAACACCAATGGAATTTATGTGTAAATGTGGTGTTTTGAATTATGAGTTTTCATACTAAATAAGTTGACATTTTTAATGACTTAAATTCATTCTGTTATTAATACCTGAAATACATTACTTACTAATTTTCAATAAACAGGTATACAATGGTACATGATTAAATAATCCTTTTTTCTAATTTTTAAAACTAAAATATATTGCTCTAGGAAACACTTTTGCATCTTCTGTTTTATTCTGCAGATATTTTGGAAAAGAACTGAATGTAAATTAACCTTTTCGCGACGGCACACCTTTGTTTAAGACGCTCGTGCGAATGGAAGAGAATCGAAGGCAGTCACCTTACAGGATGGAGGTTTTTCATCGCTAAGCCTAATTTTATAACAAAAATCAGAAAAACAAAAGTTTCGCTTCTAGCATCGTAATTTTTGGTATCATTTTAGATTATTACTTGAGCTCTTATATATGTTAAAATTAGCCCTTAAAACATTTTTTTTTCTTTATTTTACATAAAAATATACTTAAAAAGTTGCATATCTTCTAAAATAATTTTCGGAAGCGCTATTCAAATTATTCCAAAGTTTTAATTGATTAAATCCATCAATAAAGTGTAAAATTAATAAAAAGAACACAATAAAGACTATTTACAGTAAGAAGTAACAAAATTTAAAATGAAAATGAGTGTGGTGAATCTCGAAGCACAGAGAAATATCACTTTGTAATTCTTAGAAAAAGTATCACTTTTTAACTCTTTAGAAAATGAATCAGTATTCTCATCTGCGTTAGTAAATGGTTCACTAACCATACTAGGGTATTCTTCCTCTGATAAATAGTGCCTTTCCCCATAATAGACTGGAGGTGAAGCTTTCCTAATTAAAAAAAGGAGGAGCGGAAATATATCTGACGCCCGTCCTGAAAGGGTTAAGAACACTTAAATTGTACATTGCAATACTAACAATCTACAATAAAATAAAATTATTTTTAATTAAATCAGATATATTATAATTTGCTGAAAGTTTTCTCCTTAAATACTACATTATCAAGCTGATTTTTAACAATTATGTAAAGTTAAGATTTCATTACGCCTGTTCAGTTTTATAAATATTTATGCCTTGTTTTATCTTTTTCTGTAGATGATGCTGCCCTCACGCCAGATGTTTAATTCGTAATGTATTTTTTAATTTTGCTGTGTATTTGTGGTAGCAGATAAAATAAAACCAAACGACTAGATGTCGTGACAAGCTTGAGGAATATTATTATGGATGTTCAATTTTTAAAGATTTTGATGAAGAATCTGAGTTTAAAAATTTGTCTGAGGCTCAGGATTTGGCAGACAAATCATTAGTTTAAATAGAAACATATCTAAATTCATTTAATAAAGAATCACAGCTCAAGGATGGTAAGATGGTAAAATTTGCTACGTCCTATGTGAATATAAAGCTTCCGAAGTATGATCTTCCAACGTTTTCTGGCAAGTTTGAGTTCTGGTTGAGTTTTAAATCCAGATTTTTAAGTTTGGTTGATTCTAATAACTGGCATTCAAAAATTGCAATACCTGCAAAGTGCAGTTTCG